GGCGAGCTAGAACACCTCGATCAATTTCCATACATAGACTCGTGGTTGCAGTTATTGTGGAACCCTCTGAAGTGGTTAAGAGAGCAAGTAGCGACTGTTTTAGTAGCCAAGGGACAGACTGCTAGAAACCACCATGTGGTGGAGATGAGAAACAAGGAATCTCAAGGTCTGGGCAGATTCAGTGGCAGAGACAACTCCCAAGGTTTTGGTCGACCCTGCGGCAGAAGAGTTTTTGTTGATAATGCCTCTTCCTCCCCCTCAAGGACTCCCTGCCCCTGGGCTGGAGGCCTCGGCATCCCCACCAGAGCTGCACACCCCTAAATTCCCCAAAGTAGAAAAACTCCGCCCATTGTTGCCCGCTTCCCAGAGGGAACTCCCCCTCTGGCAGCTCGTCTGCGACCCAAGGCCGGGGTGCAGATGCCTTTGAGAGACCAAGGTACACCGGAGTGGACGAGGATGGCCACATGGTAGAAAGGTGTGTTTTCACGCACCTGCCGTTCACCTCAGCTGATCTCATCAATTGGGAAAAAACAACATCTTTTTAACACAGACGAAAGGCGGAGAATACTCTAAGCCGCTTCTAATTGGCTGGAGGAGCATGTTCCTGCAGATTACCAGAACCCCCAAGAGTATGGAAAAGGGGGGTTCCTAGAAACCCCCACAGTCTGCCCGCCTGGGCCTGCAATGCTACCAGTGTGCATTCTGTTGAGAAATAGGACGCTGGAAAAAAATGTCCACAGTTAACTGAAGAACAGGACCATCCTAAGCAAGAGGATCCAAATGAGTGTGAAGGGGCTCTGTTCAATCTAATGGAAGGGCCACTGGACTAAAAGAGATGGGGGCTGGACTCATATGCCCCCAAAGAGCCCATGGTCCGGACGACAGCCCTGTAACCCCCCATCGAAAGGAACAAGGCCAGTGCTGTTAAATCTATTAAGGTATTAAGAGAACAGGCTTTCTTGTACTTAATGAATTGTCCCTGCCCCCTTTCTCCAGCAAAACCTTTTGTGCAAATCGAGGGCCACTATCCCATTCAACAAAAGAGACTCCCTGCAGCTAAAACTGCCTCAGTTGAGAGTCATCCAGGCTCTCACTGTCCCTTGGGAAGGAGGGTGGAGACTTCCTAGCCAGAGGCAGAAGACTGATATTATCGCCCAAGCCAGTGCAGGGTTTGCGTGGCTTTGCACCAACTTCTACACGCAGTTGGGATTATTGCCAGCATCGGATAGTTGGTTCACTTAATTGGACTTAAAGAATACCTCCTTAGCATTGGACTGGCCTTGGAGGGTCAAAAACCATTTGCATTTCAATGGGAGAACACTCAATGCACCTGAACCCAGCTTCCCAGGGGCTCAGAACCTCTCATCATCGCTGGGGAGGCATCAGCCTGTGACCATCCCCCAGAAGCTTCTTGCTTGCATGCTGCCCCCGTATGCTGGTAACCTTCTATTGGGACACCCCACAGCAGTCGGGTGCACAAACAAATGCCTTACTTTAGCACCTGGAAGACTGTGGGTATAAAGTGTCTAAAAGGAAAGCCCTGATTTGCCAAACAGCAAATGCAATATCTGAGGCTTACCATCTGGAAGAGGGAACGCAGCGTAGAAGCAGAGAGGAAGGAAGCCGCGTGCAAAGTCACAGAACCTGAGACTAAAAAGCAGGTGAGAGAGCTCCTGGGAGCGGTGGGTTTTGTAAACTGTGGATTTCCAAACTTTGCAGTACTGGCCAGAACCTTACACAGTGACAAAGGGGGGAGGGGAGAAGACAAGTCACCCTTCGAATGGGGCAGAAGCTAAAAGTGAAACTTCTGTTGGCCCTGGCTTTGGGGTTAGCCGATTTTAACATAGCCTTTACATGCTGTCAAAAAGAAAAAAAAAGGAAAAAGAAAAATGGAAATAAAAGATTCTAGCCTCAACTCTGGGAAGAATTTAAATATCAAAGCACCCCATGCGGCGGTGACTCTAATGAATACCAAAAGACCTCATTGATAAGCCTGCCAAATACCAGTGCCTGCTATGTGCAGTGGTTGTACAAGCCGTACATGAGACCACTCGTTAAAGCCAAGAGTCCCTTGAAAAGATGCTGGGTCGGCACTTTTACATCTTACACTTATCAGCCTTAACTAAAACTGTGGCACAGCGATGCATTCATTACATGTCGTCAACTCAACGTGAGGCAGGGTCCCAACTCTTCTCCCTTGGAGCAGCTCTGTTTAAAGATCTCCAGGTAGAATTCACTGAAATGTCCAACAGTGGAGGACATAAGTATTTGTCGGCCCTGGTGTGCACATACTCTGGGTGGGACTGAAAGTGCCCATGAAGTGATCTGTGTGCTGCTTCAAGATCTTATCCCCAGGTTTGGACTGCCACTGTGCATCAGATCAGACAACGGACCAGCATTTGTGGAGGATTTAGTCCAGAAAATAGCAATGCTGCATGCTGCCTACTGACCTCAGAGTTCCAGAAAATTGGAAAAATCAAAAACAGCTTAGGGAAAGTGTGTCAGGAAACAAGATTAAAGTGGGTGCAGGCACTTCCCTTGGTGTTATTCAAAATTAGAGGCACCCCCTCTAGGAAAAACAGGATATTCCCCTATTAAGTCTTATACCATAGGCCCCCTCCCCTACTCTGGGCACTCCTAGGAACTCCTCGGGAACGGGGAGAGATTGAGTTAGGATGCTAGTTACCAGCTCTAAGGAGAATCGCTTAGGATCCTTCAACCTGAGTAAATAACAAATGTCCTGTAAGCCTTTTTCTCCCCAGCTCACCCTTTCTCACTAAGTAATCATGTGTGGATAAAGGACGGGAGTACAGCCCCTCTAAAGCCACAGTGGAAAGGACCTCAGACCTGATCCTGACCAATCCCACAGCTGTGAAGGTAGAGGGAATCCCAGCCTGAATCCACCACAGGCCTGTAAAAACCAGCAACAGCTGAGACTTAGACCAAGGCAAGGACTGCAGAATCACCTTAAAAAGGACAACAAGCTCTGCTCCAGCCACATCCCGGAAGCTGGCTGGTCCATGCACGGCCGAAGCATGAAGAGATTCAGCGTGGGACTTGTTGTTCTTAATATTTGGACTTGTACAGTAGGGACATTAACTGATTTTGAAGAATGCTCTCAATGTGTCCACCAGGTTACAAAGATAGGGCGAAATGTCACTGCCATTCTTCTGTTTTGCAGTTATTATGAGTGCACAGGGACACAAAAGGGAACGTGTTTATGCAATGGTACTCAGTATAAGATATGTAGACCGGGGGATGGACAGCCTGATGTATGTTACAACCCATCAGAGCCCCCTATACATACGACTTTTGCAATTAGACTCCTGACAGGGAGATGGAATAGCCCTCCTAAATTAATAGCCAGGACAGAAGAGAGAGGAAGCTCAAAACAGGTCACTCTAAGGTTTGATGCCTGTGCAGCCATCAATGCCTATCCTTCCGGTGCCAGGGGCTGTGGTTCCCTCAGGTGGGAACAAAGTTATGCAACAGAGCATAAATATCTCTGCCAGAAAACCTACTGGTGCTATGACTGCACCTATTGGTCCTGTGTCACCTGGGCCACTTGGAAAAATGATAAAAATGATCCTGTTCGCCTTGTGAAAGGGAGTCTGTGGAAAATTCAATCTAACCAACTGCTGTCTGCACATAGATGACCAGGGGCAGGCAGTGGAGGATATTGTGTGAGACATGACCAAACTGGCACACGTGCCTGTACAGGTGTGGCACGGATTTAACCCTGAGTCCTTATTTGGAGGTGAGGATTCAAAACCCTCATCATAAGTGTTATAATAATAATAGGTGTTTGCTTACTGCTCCCTTGTCTACTGCCCCTGTTCCTTCAGATGATGAGGGGATTCATCACCACTGTAGTTAGCCAAAAAGTGACATCACAAGTGTATTATATGAAACATTATCAGTCTGTTTCTTCAGAAAATCTGGAAAGTGGGAATGAAAGTGAGACCTCTCACTAATATTACAAAGTGGTGAGGGTCTCAAAGGGGGGATGAGGAGGGAGACCCAGGCATTTGGAACCTCCTCCCCCTCTGTCATCCACTGTGCATCTCAATAGAAGAGAGAGCAGGCCAGCTGGCGCCTCCTGAATCTCCTTCCTGAAAACAAGCAGCTAGGCCCTGGGGAAAGTCTCCAGAAGGCACTATGGAGAAGGCACTGTTTTTACTTAAAACAAGATCAAACCAGAAACCTTTTCACATGTGAGTCCTCAAACTATGAACTGAAACCCTTTTCATATGTAATTCCTGAAACTATGAACTGAAACCCTTTTCATATGTAATTCCTGAAACTACGAACTTAAGATTCTTCCACATGTAGCATCTAAAGTATAAGCCTATATAAAGGCTGAACCTCCCTTTCTTGGGCAAGTTTTGCTACTAGGCACGCATGCCAACAAAGCTCCCAGCTGTAATACAAATTCCTTCCTCCTGTATCCGGTGTCCGAGAGATCCTTTCCCGTGGCCACTGCTGCTACACTATGACTGGAGCTAACCTCTGAACTGGGTGACCTTTTTTTTTCAAGCATTACATGTAGTCACAACTTCAGTTTCCTTTTCCATTTATTATTTGTTGGAAAGGAAAATTACCACGTTAGCCTAAATTGTTCATATCCTTGGAACACTACACCAAGAGCTCATTTCCTCTCCATAGTGTTGAAAAAGCAAATGCAAATTGTCATTACAAAGAGTGCAAATACCCTGACGCATAACAACAATTTGCCTTGTTGTAATTTACAACAGGAACAGGAAGGAGCATGATACAGAGAAAAATAATTAAAAATCCACAAATACGTTAAAGTTTTGGAGTGGGTTTTGTTTGTTTGCTTGCTTTTTATTAAAATGCACACTCACAGAATAATACATGCCTACCATTACTTCTTGATTTGATTGCATTTTATTTTTATTGTATTCATTGATTCTATATAAGAAAAATGCTCATAATGATCATTTTAATATTTTAAGTAAATAATTCTTATTTTCTTTCAGGGAAAAGAAATAAGACATTAACTCCACTGGATGACCCGACTATCTTGGGTATACCACCCCTTCATGCCAAGCATCCAATCTCCAAATATTCTCAAAGGTTCCACTATGCAGAATACTAGAGCAATGAGTGCTAGGTTCTACAGAGAGAAACAACTCAACTTTTCTCAGCTGTGGTTCTAGATTGGAGGTAAAGGAGAAGAAAGCAGAGAAAAGGGTGATTAGTAACTAAGAGATGTGACCAAAAGGAAATCCAGAGGACTCCTCAAAGGAAGCTGAAACATTTATTTTTTATAATTTTAAGTCTATATGGTTATATATAAGTTAGAACTGGTTAAAGGGATACAGTATGCTAGGTATTCAATGCAAGGAAGTGACACGAGAGAAAGAATTTTTTTTTTTTTTGAGACAGAGTCTCTCTCTGTCACCAGGCTGGAGTACAGTGGCCTGATCTTGACTCACTGCAATCTCTGCCTCCTGGGTTCAAGTGATTCTCCTGCCTCAGCCCCCAAGAAGCTAGGACTATAGGCATGTGCCACCACAGCCAGCTAATTTTTGTATTTTTAGTAGAGACAAGGTTTCATCATGTTGGCCAGGATGGTCTCGAACTCTTGACTCCCTGATCTGCTCATTTTGGCTTCCCAAAGTGCTGGGATTACAGGTGTGAACCAGGGCACCAGGCCAATAGAAAGAAATTATTTAGGTAGATAGTGAGGGAAAAGGAGTCCTGGGCAAGGCTTCTCTTTTAACAAAAAGCAGCCACAAAATCATTTCTTTTCTAACGAAGAGGAGCCCAAGAAATTGAGCTGCAAACATAGATAAACAAGCTGAAAACTTGCGTGGGTGAATGCTGGCAGCTGTGGCAATAGAAAAGGGCTACTGGAAGCCCATCAGACTCACAGCAGATTTCTCAGCAGAAATCCTTCAATGCTAGAAGAAAGTGGGGGCCAATATTCAACATCCTTAAAGAAAATAACTTTCAACCTAGAATTTCATATCCAGCCAAACTAAGCTTCATAAGCAAAAGAGAAATAAAATCCTTTAAGAACAAGCAATTGCTGAGAGATTTCATCACCTCAGACCTGCCTTACAAGAGCTCCTGAAGGAAGCATTAAACATAGAAAGGAACAACCAGTAACAGCCACTCCAAAAACATACCAGATGGTAAAAAGCATTGAAACAATGAAGAAACTGTGTCAACTAATGGGCAAAACAACCAGCTAGCATCAAAATGGCAGGATCAAATTCACACATAACAATATTAACCTTAAATGTTAATGGGCTAAATGCCCCAATCAAGACACAGACTGGCAAATTGGATAAAAAGTCAAGACCCATTTGTGTGCTGTATCCAGGAAACCCATCTCACATGCAAGGACACCCATAAGCTCAAAATAAAGGGATGGAGGAAGATTTACCAAGCAAATGGAGAGCAAAAAAAAAGCAGGAGTTGCAATCCCAGTCTCTGATAAAACAGACTTTAAACGAACAAAGATCAAGAGACAAAGAAGGGCATTACATAATGGTAAAAGGATGAATACAACAAGAAGAGCTAACAATCCTAAATATACACCACCCAATACAGGAGCACCCAGATACATAAAGCAAGTTCTTAACGACCTGCAAAGAGACTTAGACTCCCACAAAATAGTAGTGGGAGACTTTAACACTCCACTGTCAATATTAGTCAGATCAACAACACAGAAAATTAAGAAGGATATCCAGGACTTGAACTCAGATCTGGACCAAGCAAACCTAATGGACATTTATAGAACTCTCCACCCCAAATCCACAGAATATATTCTTCTCAGCACCATATCACACCTACTCTAAAATTAACCACATAATTGGAAGTAAGTCACTCCTCAGCAAATGCAAAAGAATGGAAATCATAACAGTCTCTCAGACCACAGTGCAATCAAGATAGAATTCAAGATTAAGAAACTAACTCAGAACTGCACAACTTCATGGAACATGAACAACTAGATCTTGAATGTTGACTGGATAAACAATGAAATGAAGGCAGAAATAAAGATGTTCTTTAAAATCAACAAGAACGAAGACACAATGTACCCAAATCTCTGGGACACATTTAAAACAGTGTCTAGAGGGAAATTTATAGCAATAAATATCCACATGAGAAGCAAGGAAACATCTAAAATTGACATCCTATCATCAAAATTGAAAAGACTAGAGGAGCAAGATCAAAAAAAAAAAAAAACTCAAAAGCTAGCAGAAGACAAGAAATAACTAAGATCAGAGCAGAAGTGATGGAGATAGAGACACAAAAAAACCCCTCAAAAAATTAATAAATCCAGGAGCTGGTTTTTTGAAAAGATCAACAAAATAGACAGACCACTAGCCAGATTAATAAAAAAGAAAAGAGAGAAGAATCAAATAGATGCAATAAAAAATGATAAAGGGGATATCACAACTGATTCCACAGAAATATAAACTACCATCAGAGATTACTACAAACAACTCTATGCACATAAACCAGTAAACCTAGAAGAAATGGATAAATTCCTGGACACTTGCACCCTCCCAGGCCTAAAGCAGGAAGAAGTTGAAACCCTGAATAGACCAATAACAAGGGCTGAAGTTGAGGCAGCAATTAATAGCCTACCACCCAAAAAAAGCCCAGGTCCAGATGGGTTTACAGCTGAATTCTACCAGAAATACAAAGAGGACCTGGTACCACTCCTTCTGAAACTATTCCAAAGAATCCTTCCCAAATCATTTTATGAGACGAACATCATCCTGATACCAAAAACCAGCAGAGACTCCACAAAAAAAGAAAACTTCAGGCCAATATCCATAATGAACATCAATGCAAAAATCTTTAATAAAATACTGGCAAACTAAATGCAACAGCACATCAAAAAGCGTATCCATCACGATCAAATAGGCTTCATCCCAGGGATGCAAGGCTGGTTCAACATACGCAAGTCTATAAACATAATTCACCACATAAACAGAACCAAAGGCAAAAACCACACGATTAACTCAATAGATGCAGAGAAGGCCTTTGACAAAATTCAACAACACTTTATGCTAAAAACTCTCAATTAACCAGGTATTGACAGAATATATCTCAAAATAATAAAAGCTATTTATGACAAACCAACAGCCAATATCATACTGAATGGGCAAAAACTGGAAGTATTCCCTTTGAAATCTAGCACCAGAGAAGGATGCTCTCTCTCACCACTCCTATTCAATATAGTATTGGAAGTTCTAGCCAGATAAATATTTCAAGAAAAAGAAATAAAGGGTATTAAATTGGGGAAAGGAGGAAGTCAAATTGTCTCTATTTGCAGATGGTATGATTGTATATATAAAAGACCCCATTGTTTCAACCCAAAATCACCTGAAACTGATAAGCAACTTCAGCAAGGAATCAGGATGCAAAATCAGTGTGCAGAAATCACAAGCATTTCTATACACCAGTAACAGACTTAAAGAGAGCCAAATCAAGAATGAACTGCCATTCACAATTTCTACAAAGAGAATAAAATACCTAGGAATACAACTAACAAAGGATGTAAAGGACCTCTTCAAGGAGAACCTCAAACCACTGCTCAAGGATATAAGAGGACACAAACAGTTGGAAAAACATTCCATGCTCATGGTTAGGAAGAATCAATATCGTGAAAATGACCATACTGCCCAAAGTAATTTATAGATTCAGTGCTATCCCCATCAAGCTACCTAAGACCCTCTTCACAGAACTGGAAAAAACCACCTTAAACTTCATATGGAACCAAAAGAGAGCTGGTATAGCCAAGTCAATTCTAAGCAAAAAGAATAAAGCTGGACGCTGCTGGACTTCAAACTATACTACAAGGCTACAGTAATCAAAACAGCATGGTACTGGTACCAAAACAGAGATATAGACAAATGGAACAGAACAGAGGCTTTGGAGGCAATGCCACACATCACAACCATCTGATCTTTAACAAACCTGACAAAAACAAGCAATGGGAAAGGATTCCCGTTTAATAAATGGTGTTGGGAAAACTGGATAGCCATGTGTGGAAAGCAGAAACTGGACCCCTTCCTAACACCTTACACTAAAATTAACTCCAGATGGATTAAAGACTTAAACATAAGACCTAACACCATAAAAACCATAGAAGAAAATGTAGGGAAAACCATTCAGCACATAGGTATAGGCAAGGACTTCATGACTAAAACACCAAAAGCATTGGCAACAAAAGCCAAAACAGACAAATGGGACCTAATCAAACTCTAGAGCTTCTGCACAGCAAAAGAAACAATCATTAAAGTGAACTGGCAACCAATAGAATGGGAAAAAATTTTTCCAAGCTACCCATCTGACAAAGGGCTAATATCCAGAATCTACAAAGAACTGAAACAGATTTACAAGAAAAAAAAAACAAACAAACCCATTCAAAAGAGGGCAAAGGATATGAACAGACACTTTTCAAAAGAAGACACATATGAGGGCAACAAACATATGAAAAAATGCTCTCATCACTGGTCATTAGAGAAATGCAAATCCAAACCACATTGATATACCATCTCACGCCAGTTAGAATGGCAATCATTAAAAAATCTGGAGACAACAGATGCTGGAGAGGATGTGAAGAAATAGGAACACTTTTACACTGTTGGTGGGAGTGTAAATTAATTCAGCCATTGTAGAAGACAGTGTGGCAATTCCTCAAGGACCTAGAAATAGAAATTCCATTTGACCCAGCAATCCCATTACTGGGTATATATTGAAAGGATTATAAATTTTTCTATTATAAGGACACATGCACACACATGTTCACTGCAGCACTGTTTATGATAGCAAAGACCTGGAACCAACTCAAATGCCCATCAGTGATAGACTGGACAGGGAAAATGCGGCACATATACATCATAGTATACTAGGCAGCCATAAAAAAACGATCAGTTTGTGTCCTTTGTAGGGACATGGATGAACCTGGAAACCATCATTCTCAGCAAACTGACACAAGACCAGAAAATCAAACATCACATGTTCTCACTCATAGGTGAGTGTTGAACAATGAGAACACATGGACACAGGGAGGGGAGCATCACACACTGGGGTCTATTGGGGGGGACGAGGGGATGGACAGCAGGGGGATAGGGAGTTGGGGAGGGATAACATGGGGAGAAATGCCAGATATAGATGATGGGGATGGAGGCAGCAAACCACATTGCCATGTATGTACCTATGCAGCAATCCTGCATGTTCTTCACATGTACCCCAGAACCTAAAGTGCAATAAAATATATATACTAAAAAAAAGAAAGAAAGAAAAGGGCTAGCTGGAAGCCAGGTATGTTCCAACATGGAGGTGCCATCTTCCACATTCTTTGTCACCACAAGTACAGTAAAGAACCAGGCAACATGGTACCTACCAAGCAAAGAACCCATCAGCATAATAAAATATTAGGGTGAGGTGGCCAGCTTTTTCACGTGCTATACAAATGGCACACCTAGTCCCAACCAGTTTTTTGCACCTTATGCAAATAGCACACCTGGTCTGACCAATTTTTTATGCCCTATGTAAAACAGACACCGCCTCCTCAAGCTCATCTATAAAACCCATTGCATTCCACCACAGAACCGGCAAACCATTTCTCTGGGACCACTCTCTCTGCAGCAGAGAGAGCTATTCTCTTTCTTTCGCCTATTGATCTGATGCTTTTGACCTCACTTTGTGTGTCCATGTCCTTGATTTCCTTGGTGTGAGACAATAAACCTCGAGTATTTACCTCAGACAGTGACACCATTTCAGTACCAGAGCATTAGGAACAACTGGTTATGCCCCCGTGAGCATAGCTTATGTTCCTAAGATTCTTACATGAGGATTTTGTCCTCCTGTAATTAAAAAAAAGAGGGATTTTGTTGTTGGGTTATTCATTTTGGTGTTTTTTAAAAAAAGAAAATTTTCTATTTG